ATTTAATGCAGTTCAGGTCCACAGTGTAATTAAGATATGATTATAGGCTATAATTAGCGACTTAAAGACACATTTATCACAATCTTTCAGAGACCTAGTTATCCTTAATTTAACCTCACCCGTAAATCGGAAATTCAGCCTTGGAGCAAGAAAGATCTTCAGATTGAAATCACCATTTTGTTTTGGTATTTCTGTTAGCTTGATTTGGTTTTGTTTGTGTTTTTTCTTTTTTTTTAATTTATTTTTCTGGTGTGTGAACATTTTCTTATTTATTTATTTTTTAACAGGCTTGCCATGGTGGGAAATATTGAATCRCGACTCAAAGATATAAATTATATCAAAGTACTAAAATAATTAGGAAATTTGTTAGATTAACAGGACTTATTTCAATGTGCTCTCCAAGAAAAGTAAAAACCATTACTTCACGTGCAGTATAGAGAATAACACAGGCCCATCTGATCTTCATACAGCACAAGAACAGTGCAAAACAGCATGAGGGACCTCCTATGTGCAAATCTTCATACATTTATCCTGTGATATTAAATACTTTGAGAAATACATTGTCAGCTCCATCACTCCTCTAGATTAATGCAAACTAAATACTTGGTTTGCACTGCTACATTGTTAGTTCATGAAAAAAAAAAAAACCCTTAATATCTCCGGATTTTATACCTGAACATAATAATTTAATCTGGTAGTTTAAAGAAAAACATACCTGTCTGTCTAATGAYGATGCATTCTAAAAAATAGACTGCAACTTGTAGCAGGAAATATGGCTAAAATTTGTTTCTAATAAATGAATAAACTATTATTCATATTTTGGTTGCTAAGGTTACTGCTGAAACTAAATAAGAAGTGAAAGCAATGGTGCTAGGATTGAGGAAATAACCAAAACATCTACTCAGTTATTGAAATTTCTGGATTGGGAACCCACTGCAAAGGAGGGAAGAGAGACCTGCAAGGAGTGAGTCAGGATGCTACAGCCTGCCAGAGATCAGCACCGAATTATGACCAGTAATACAGGAACTGAACRTGGTAGAAGATTTCACGTTCAGAACAGTTTTATTAAATTAAGAAGCCATGCAAAGGGGGAAATCAGATATGAGGGAGCCGAGCACACCCTCAGGGTGTAAACATCCCTGGTGGCTGCTCCGGGATTTCATCTAAGGGACAAGCAGGTCTTTATCTTGCAGACAGAGAGAGAAGCCCTAATTTGAGGCTCAGGGGCTGCCAGGCCACCACGGGGAACTCTCTGCCCCGTGCAATTTTGCACAGCCTTTGCCTTTCATTTGCCCCTTTGCCCTCCCCTCTGGCTGAGGCACAGATTTAAGCTTGGATTTGATTTATATCATGTTTCTGTATGAACCAGGCCAGATTCCMTGGACCAAAGTAAAGAAAGACAAGAAAGCTTTATAGTAGAGACTTCCAAATTTCTAACTTAGTCTTTGGACTCCTGTGGAGAGAGGTTACCACACACCACAGGCAGAACCACGCCAAAGAGGAGAGCTCTAACATTGAAAATGGCCCTTCTCCAACAGCTGAACCCCAAATTCTACTGACTTTTCTGTGAATCTGAGTGGGAAAACCACCGCTAAAGGTTCTGTGGTCTTAACCACAGAGCAGTTCAACAAGCTGAGATTAAAGACCCCTAAAGACATCCCTGTGACCAGGGCCGCGGTCGGGCGCCCGACGGCTGCGCTGCCCCTGCCCCGCCACGGCTTTGCTGGGCTGAACCGAGASGAGCAACGCTACGCTGCAATTCCTCGCGGATGGATTCATCAGCATAATGACAAATTCATTTCCACATTGCTGAAGCTGTTTTAGCAGCGGGGAAATTACCATATATTGCTGGAGGGAGCCCGTAAAATACACCGGAATAACAAGCAAACAGAGGGTCACTGATCACCCCTTTGTCCACGTCCCTGTGCAAGTGGTGGCTTCAAAAAACACGGTTAGAAAATTAGGTAAGTTCCGCATTTCTGCCGGCCATCCATTAGTGCACCATGGTTTGCCTTTCAAGCATGCAATTAGTGAGAACTCTTGGTTGAATTATTGGTGTTTCACAGGAGGTGGCCCCTGCCCCAGCTCATCCCCATCCCCAGGAGGCTGCAGGGTCAATACAGGAGGGCTCTACAACAGACAGCCCCGGGTCCGTGGCACTTTTTGCCTTGAAAYGGAGCAGAGAGCCCAGGATTTGATGCTATTCCTCAGTAATAAGCTGAGGAGATCTGCACCGAGCAGCACAAAGCTTCAGAAACAATGAGCTTGGAGCTGCATTTGTATCCCTATTTATTTATTTATTTATTTTCATCTCTCTCTCTCTTGCTCAGTGCACTTATCAACTAAATGAAATGAATTATCTCTTTCAAAGGGGTCACACGCACTCAAGAAGAAAAGCCACATGTTTTTGAGTTACGTTTTGTCCCTTTCTGGTTTCAATTACCCATTAAAAGCAACCTCTGGATCGCAGCTATCTGTATTATCTGCTGATAAGCAGTTATCTGGACRTATAGGAGGGCAATACATTGATTTTTATTTATTTATTTTTACATCAAGTCTTTTCCCAATGAATAGTTGGAGAAATACTTGTTTTCAATATATGATGGAGCAAATGCAAGCCAGAAGTCATTGAGCTTTTCCTGATTTTCTCTGTGATATCATTTATACCACTTTGCCTCCTCCTCGCAACTATTATACCCCTAAATCTGTGCACCCGTCAGAGTGCAGAGGCAGTTTTCTGGAAGGCAGGCTGTGAGTTTTCGCTTGTGGGTAGCRAGATTTGTTGCTGTGCCTCGGATTGCTTCCAGGCTTATTCCGGGAGACCTGGCTTGCACGTGTGTTTAATGGGCAGAGATGCTGAGATCAGCAGAAGTTCCCTATCCATCCAGCTTCCCAAACAAATTGGAGCAGAATCCATCTCAGCTTTTGAAAGAAAATCRACACATATTTGAACTCACCTCCCATGCACACGGGACTCATTTAACATGACAGGTGTAGTGGTGCATGTTGAGAAAAAAATGCACAATATTGGCTATTTTATTTCCATTAGATTTAATTATATCTGTAATTAAATGGAGGAGAGATGCACTAGCTTTGCAAAGCCTTTCTGCTTCTATCTACATTGGTCCCATAAATAAAAATTCACAATATGTCAGCTTTTCCTTTTTTTTCAAGTTATGAAATGCCAGTGACACGATTAATAAGGTGACCATCATAATCAAAGGAGGCTGAAAAGACTCAAGGCKCCATTTTGCAGAAAATCTCTAATTCTCACCTCAGCATGAGTCTCAATTTCCATTAGCATCTGTGGAAGCCTCTGCTTACACGACATGCAAGAACAYGCAAGTTCCGAGGTAAACAGAGAAGGTTGCGGATGAGATAAAAATGCTGTTTTCAAAGCATAATCACAAAGCTTTCCAGGGGAGAGCTTGTGGAGACTGAGGTTTTGATTTTGCACTAGCAATTTCTACCAGTACTAATTAYCCCACTGTTCACCTTATGCAAGAGGTTTTTATGTATGTCTGTATATGTCCATTATTAAACATCCTATCAAACCTGAAAAACACCCTATCAAACCTGAAAAAACTCTGTAGATACATCAGCTAATTTAAATATACAAACACGTACACATAGCAGCTCTGCCTGATTAAAGATCTCCRAAACAATTTCCCCTTTCTTCATTTAATTTTGGATTTGTAACAAAAAAGTATTTTGGTATTTAAATTAAAATATTTAATTTAAATAAACCTCTGTATTCTTCAGTGAAAGTCACCTATAACCGGACTAATGYTTTCACAGAACATTAGCAGTCATTAAGACAAATATTTTCCTATTTCTACCACCTCACTCAGCTTTCAGGAGTGACCAGAATGCCTCTTATTCAGAAAAACCTCTCCGGTTACAGAACTTGCCAGCTTCACCTCTGCATATTTTTTTCACCAAGTTTATATAGGCTGAAAAGAGGACGCCCAGTATAGTATCATTCCCCAACGTATATTATGACAAGTACCCAACTCACACTAGAGATTACAACACCATTTCCTGACCAAAATAATAATGTTTAGAACAAATAGTTCTAAACTAGGTCTCTCCTAGATATAAAACTGAGGATGGTTTTAGAATAGGGTTTGCTCGTAATCATTCGTTCTGCTTCACAAAAGAACGTGTCATTGTGGACATTTTCATTCACAATTTGCAGAATCTTYGTGTGGACAGCCAGATCTTTGCACCCTTCTGAGCAGAGACCAAGTGGAATATCTCATATTGTGCTTGTCACAAGCTGCCGACCTGTATCTGCGGGGTGGAGAACGCTGTTCTCCAGGGAGTGCCCATTTAATATTGTCATCTATGCCGAGACCTTTTCCATTAAGAGATGTCACAACAAGGGCAGGCCTTTGTCACCAAGCCACTACAGCCTACTGGTTAATCACYCACAAGACAGGTATGAGCTGAAGCCCTGACATAAATATCCAAGTGTCTCATCCTGACTACAGAGCTGGGGAAAAAAAAAAATCTTTGTTCAAATCAAGCCAAACTTCTCCCATCGGTTCCGACAATGAAAATATGAGTCACTAGCAAGGGGTGGGAAAGCATAGGGAGCACYTCAGGAAGAACAACTATGAGAGGAACAAACTTTCTTCAGCTTCCCCTTCCTCAAATATAAAATTATTCAACTTCAATAAAGGAAAATATTTGGGAAAAAAAAAACCCTAAACTAAAAAATCCTAGTTTAAATATAATAGAGACGATTGGCTTAGTAATAACGAGTGTAGTCCAAGCTCCCTCTTCTGGTATTCTGGAGTAAATGTACCCGAGTAAGGTCTCCATAGGCTAGCACTTCATTTCCAAAATGCATCCACAAAACGTTCACACAACTCRGACAAAATAGCCCATTACAATTGTTCAACCTCTTTCACCTTACTTAGGTATTCTTACGTAAACGTGGTCACTCAAACATTGAAAGTCGTTAGCGCACGGTAGGAAACAGAACTGCACGATACCTCTTTGCTTCCTCCGCGAATCCTTCGGGTTCTTCACGAGCTGGTCCTACAGCGTCAGCAGGGGCAGCAGGGAAAGCTGCATCCTCAGGCACAACTGCAAGGAGGCTGCCGGGTTCTTTGCAGCTGCAAGACAGTTGTTGGGAACAGTAAGCTGAGCGATTCCAGCGGTGGGCAAGAAGCTTTGGTGGAGCTTCCGTAGATGATGGGCAATCTGAGATCTAACCAAAGTTTCTCACCCCTTCCCAAACCTAAATACTGCCTCTCTCTGCCATCCCACCTCCAAATTATTTCCTCCTGCAAACCGTGCTTCATTTCTATCGGCAGATTACAGTACTTCTACTGCAAATGTCATCATTAAATCTCAGAAGTATTTAAGGGTTTTCTGTGCTTTCTGTATATGAAAATAGTGCAACTGTGCAAACCACCCCTGGCAGCTTTGCAGTTCTGTCACGCAGCCTTCTCCTCCCTGAACCTCTCTGTGACTCAAGRGAAATGGCTGGAGAATTGCCTTTAAATAAAAAATTAAGAACGAGGAATAAAATTTCCTATTTTTTTTAAGTCCTCAGTATGCTGTAAAACTGAAAGCACCCAGAACTTATTCCACGAATTACAGAACTTCAATACTACTGTATTTGCTAATTCTGTTCAGCAAAGCCTCACAGGAGCCAGGCTCAGAAACAGAAAGTCATTTAGTGAGTTCAACAGCCCTTAAGCACAGGCTGGAAGGACCAAACTTCTTCAGAGCAACAGAAGTTGAGAACTAAGGGTGGTAGTGTCCTCTCCTGGTCCCCTGAGAAAAGGTGGCCCTGATGGGAGCAAAGATCCAAATTTAATTGAAAATAAGGTGATTATCARTAGCCAAAAAAAGGGCATATATGAGAAAAGTCATCTGCCACAATTAGTGACCTGGAACACAGAGGGAACTTGTCTTTCCCTCTTCTCAAGGCAGAGCAGAACGTGCTGTTTCAGCTGCAGACATCCCTGGGCCTATTAATGTCCTGCTGGCTGAAGCAAAACCCAAGTGGGAAGAAAAGCCCGGACTTCCTTCCCTGCGGCAACAGACAGGGGAAATAAACAGGGCAAATAAGGCTCTCCCATCCCCTGAGCCTTCGAGCGCTCTTCKGGAAGGTAAATGACCCAGGCCTCCAAAACTGCATCCCACAAAACACTTGTTTGCATTTTCCACGGCTTTGAACATGGGGTAAACATAGTCCTGAGGCTCTTGGCTACGCTCATTAAACTAATGACAGGAAACAAACCACATAACCAGTCATTTTAAGTCTTGGAAAAAGAAAATAAATAAATAAATAAATAAAAGATAAACTAGATGTTAGCTTGTCATACATGGATGAAAACAAAACAGCACTGGCTACTACACCTAAATCACGGAACAACCAAGATGTGAGGCTCTTTGAACAGGAGTCCAGGCAGCAGCAGCCACAGGGAGCATCTCCCTCCTCACACAGCAGCTCCCACTCACCCATGTCGGAGGAAATACTGGCAAACCAGGGGGGAGAAGGTGTTTTTAGGCTTCCAGAAGGAAGTATGAACAGTCATTTTAGCCATTCCTTTTAAAATTTCCTTCCTGTCTCCAACTCAAGCTCTCTCTGGGTTGATTAGTTGTATGAAGTGATCAKACTGAGAGTTGATGATGTTCAGGAAAAAGCTTCCCCTAACTTTGTAAACAAGTATAAACCACAGGCCTTCACATACATAATTCACATCCTAACTCTAGTTAGGGTACACATCAAGAAGAGAACATTTATTCCCTAAAGCGATAATCCAATAATACGCCAACATCAGAAAGGCTATTTCTAAAAGTGGTCTTCCTTAATTAGCTCACATTCAAAAAGTTATTACTTGGCCATATGGGCTAGCTATTAAGTAATTTCTTCTAAGAAGTTAGCCAATTAGCTCTGCTTTAAGCATTTTTCTGCCTTCTCCACCAACTCCCTTTCCTCTCCTTTCCCCAGTTGGCTCGGACTGATCCGACACAGCAACAGGCTCCGCAGCATTTCCAGGCACATCACTAATAAATGCAGCAAGCTGCTTCCTTTTCTCATGCAAAGGACTTTTCCCTTTGCTAAAAATGGCTTTGCCCTAATATAGCAATGGCATCGCATGTATACAAAGGCTATGTGACTATATAGGGTCACACGAAGATTGGAGAAAGTGGGATATTAAAGCAAAAAGTAAACTGCTAAAAATAAGTGCGTGCTGAACATCTGTTTGGAGAGTAAACAGCGAAGCAGGGAACCCAAACAACCCCCAAGAGGGGTCAGCTGGGCAGAAACACCAAATGTGCRTGCAATGAGGGACCCAACATTAAGCACGTGCTCTATAAACACCCCAGTTAATCACTTATAGGGGCACCTGTTCCCCTCCCATCTACACTCTTCACGCACACTCCCCGCTGCTCATTTCCCTGCCTTCCCTTCCCCACCAGCCTGCTCCTGTTTTAAGTCTTTCCACAAAAAAAAAAAAAAAAAAAAAAAAAAAAAAAAAAAAAAAGGGGGGGGAAACATTTTCAGAGATGGACTTTCATTGATGCACTTTTCAAAGCAAAAACAGCTATGAAAAATACAAGCACTGCAAGAAGAGTTCTGCTTTTCAGCCTTCATAAAGCACTCAATTTGCTTCTATGAGCTRTATCATCCATGTGCATTAAAACACCCCCAAGAAATCTCCTTTCATCATGCCAAGCTTCATACAAAATGCCAAATAACAAATTCCCCAAGTGACAATACACGTCGGGGTGTCGCTGGCTTGGTGCGTGCGAACTTGTAAGTGGAACAAAGGCAAGRTGGAAATTGTTATTTGGATCTTCCCTAACATCTGGGATCAGCACAAGCTTCAGGAGGCCACCAACACCACGATGCTGCGACACCACCTCATCAGGAGGTTAGAGRGAGGCTCAGCAGGACTCTTCTAATAAGAAGAAGATTTGCCATTGAATTTTCTTTACAACTGGTAATACTCAAATAGTTGCGGCAAGAATASTATCCATGAGGCCTGATCTTCTTGGTGCATAATGACCTATCTGTGTTTGGGCCAGTCTTTATCCTACTGAGTTGAGCTGATTAGAAAACATTCTTCAAATTGTGTCTCCGTGTATATTTAAGGAATTTCCAAAAGTCATTGGCTGCCCTTCTGTGTGCATAGACAGTTTGAGTAACATGCTGAGCAGCAGCAGTTTCCTCCTGTGGGCTGTGGACCAGGGAAAGGTCCATCTCCAGACACAACAGYGCTGCACATAGTGCATCTGACAGCACCTACACAGACTGCCACACAATCCCTTATTGCACCATCTCTGCACCAGGAGCTGGGAAAGACACTGATGCATAGGAATATATTGCTTTCCAAGGCTCTAATCCAGGTGAGTTTAGAATGATTTTCATTTCCTGGTATCCACAATCGAGTTCTATCAGCATCTTACCCCTTACTACTTACATTAGTACCCAGCCTCATGCTGGTGGCTCTGCTCAGGCACTGCTCTAGACTAAAAGCTGTGGTGCAGCCTGCATCTTGTCCTTGGAATTAAATACAAGAACAGAAGCTTTCCTTGGCATATGGAAAGCACAAGATTGGGTCACCCTGACTGGTACTTACATGACCTGCCCCCAAGGCAGAATGACCTCTCCCAAGGGCAGGTTGTTCACCAAGTTCTCTCCAAGCAGACAGTTTTTTCCTGCTCCTTTTCTACCCACAAGAGAGAAATATTATAGGGCTAATCCCAGGCAGACACACAGACTCTGCCTAGAAGGGCTGGACACCTCTAAGGATGGTTGGACACCTCTAAGGATGGTCCCCCCAGGATAAGCGAATGGGGACATTGACCTAACAGTTTTGACCTTTCCAATCCAGACACTTCTGACAGGTGGGAGAAGCCCTGCTACAAAGCTCTGCATCTGCAGCCTATGGAGAAATTTCTCCAGCCAAAATTTCTTCTGGCACAATGTGCACTGGCAAAGCAGAGCAAACTTGGCCTTTCATTGCTGAAACACAAACCCTTGGCAGAACAGCCAGTGAACTTTTCACCTAGTGTTTTTGCCAGGCTACGACTCCACAGATTTGGTAAATAAAATCTACTTACTRATGCCGTGTTGTCTTTGATCAATATGTTATCAGCAGGGGAAAAGATGCAGACAGTTTTCCCCAAGAAACAAAACAAAGATACAGTTTCTTGACTGGACAGATGGAGGAGCAGAATCTGATCTCTTATTATGCACTGCCATCTGGAAGATATCTAGCACAAACTGACCCCTGCCTTATATACATCATTATTTTTCCCTGTCAAAGTGCACACCATCTGTATTATATGACACCCCTAATGGGGAAATGCTCACRTGGAAGCAAAAGAAACTATTAGTAAATAACTAAAAATGTTGCAAAGTTGCACTTTATAGTTGTATTTTTTATTGCAAARGAAAAGCTTTAATACCATTAACCTCAAATTCAAGGTCCAAATGAGAATGAACAGTGTGAATTCCTGAGGTTTACAAGAAGCAACAAACTTAGACTTAGGTTGYTCTTCCTAAAGGTTTCCTAAAATGACATCTAGTCATAGACAGGCTGGGTGCCTTTTCCTCCACAAGCAGCCAACTATCACTTCAAGGACAATATAGTCTTCTAATTCAGGCTGTGTTGAAGACACCATGTACAGATTTTGCAAGGACTGTTGGCATTCACTTTAATTCTGCTATTAAGCCCATAGCTTCAACTCCTTTATTGGAGTTAACTCTTCCATGACCTGCTTGTCACTGTGGTAAACTATTAGTAAGAGAAGACAGACTCCACAAAAACCAGTAACCTTATTACATTTGTTAAAAATAAATATGTCCACCATAAAACTTAGAATACAACCACAAGAAATCCACATCATCAGCTTCCCATCATAAGCTCCTCTAGGCCATCTTATTTTGTCTTGATTTTAGGAAAAAAAGGTTGTTTTCCACAGATGCACTAGTCTGGGGTCTGGTGAGACCAGCATAGATTAGAATCCCCACCTTTTAAGGTAGATTTTACAAGCACAAGCTTCTCTATGTCTTTGATAGCCTTATATAAACAGCACTTCAGCTAATCAATTTAATGCCAGCTTAAATACACTGCACGAGTTTACACTCTGCTGAATCCACAAYGACTGAAGGGTAAATAAACGCCCCGACAGACTCGCTCTGCTGCTGGCAATTCAGACAAACTCGTGTGTCCAAAGATCACAACAGCCCAACTGCCACCAACACAAGTAAGGCCCTGATTTAAGTCCCAGTGCAAAGAAAAGCAGACAAAGAGCTCAGTGCCCAGGAGAAATGAGATACTTGACCTGCTTTCTAATCACCGTCATGCTGTTGAGGAACTTTTCAAAGCCAAGGATTAGCCAGAAAGTGCCTGAAGGATCACTTTGCATATTATACTGTGTACATTGCACCTTCATGCCGTGCAATGCAACCCTTGGACCTTGGATGGCCCTTGGAGTGACCAGCCACACTCAACATGTCTCTGTCCAAGAAAAGTTCTACCAGTTTCTTTGCCAGCCCCAGCCTTGGCTGAGGAGGCTGGTCATGCAGCAACCTGAGGAAGCTTTAGGCTGTTGCACTTTAGGCTGTTGCACTTTAGGCTGTTGCACTTTAGGCTGTTGCACTTTAGGCTGTTGCACTTTAGGCTGTACTTTACAGTACCTTGGTGCAGTCAGCTCAGCGGCATCCTGGGTGTCCACATTTCCACAAGGTGCAGAAACAGCCAACAGTTGCTCGGGAGTATCAATAGGAGAAGCCAACTGTGTATCATCACCTGGCCCAGGAGGGCTGCGGAGAGAAAAAAAAAAAAAAGAGGGAAAATAGCAGGTTTAGAGGTCTGAATTATCGCCAGGTTATTGGCACTAAGCTGTTTGGAGCACCTGCTGTTCAGCTTCTSTAACTTATGTGATAGTGAAAGTGGAAGTAAGTTGTTTCCTCTTTTAATGTTACTTTTGTGCACATTTTTACTATTCCCACTGGAACTGAAGTCACTGCGTAACAACTACAGAAGCAATGAGACACTATGTTCCAAAAGCAAATTATCCKGATGTGGATTCTGTTGCTATAAGTGAGAACCCAAGCTAACGTTTAAGTGAGAGAAAAGGCAAGATTTCCTTACACACCAAAAGCCAAAGCACACCGGGACACTCCAGGAGCTCAGTTTGGGCTTGCACCTAGCACGGGGTTGCTCAGCAGTGCTCCACGGTCAAAAGGTGGATGGGGAGTTTCAAGGAATGCACATAGGGAGACTCTCAGTTTTTCTTGCATCAGTAATGAAAGAAGCCCCCTTGAAGAATATCTTTTCTTTTTTCCTGTTTTATTTTTTAAGCAAAGACTCCTAATYACGTGAATCACCCAAAGCCGTTGCTGTTATTGCTCTCCTCACCCATGAACTCAGGTATCTTTTTAGCACTAAGAATTATTTCCTTGCCTGGAGATTACACCCTTGTCTAACCTCAGATTCAGTTGTTATGTATAAATCTGTGCTACAGTTTTATTTCTGTTAAAAGAACATAATAAGGAATTGAACTTCATTATTATAATGTTAATGTCATTCTGGCAATGACTAAATACTCCCATCAGAATTCACTCACATTTCACATTTTATCACTTACATTTTATTTGAGCGCTCTGCAAAAATACAGGACAAAAATATCAAGCTTATTCTCTCTCTTTTTTCCCTGTTATTACACACATCAATTCCATTACACACCTTCATTAATTGTTTTAATTACACACTCCAAGCTAGTGTTTCTGCTTCTCAGTTCCTGTCTCACCACAGCATCACCCTGCACTCCACTTTGTTCACTGGTTTGCACTAGTTTGTTCGGGGCAGCCCTGACAATCTTGGTGGCTTTTCCCCCCAGTTGTACAAACACAGGTTGAGTTAAGCCATTGCACSGAGTACAGATCTCGGCTGCAAACCTAGATTTGATTATTTGTGAAATGTACAAAATTACTTTTGATTACAACAGTAAACAAGAACAGCCTACATGTTTGATGATTAACACTTCAGGGTTCAGCTTATTTTAGGAAGCGCTGGGCTTCTACTTTGCTCTGTACAGCAATTTTCAAGCAGTTTATGGACACTGTAACTTGAAGCTAGGTCTCACTTTGGGAAGGTGCCGGTGAAGCCACCCTGCTCAGCAGGGACAAACCATAAAGCCCTCCAGGAACTGCTCAGACCAGTTCCACCACTGAAATTCCTGTGCATCACCTCAACCTTCACCTTGCCTCRCTGCTACAAAGTCACTGCAACCTTTCCTTTGCAGACACTGGCTTTTCAGGCCAATTTGTTGGAAGAATCAAGCTGTATAAGAAAACTGTGAGCTTTTTCCACTCCTCTGTCCAAATACTGGGTCATGTCTGGAAGAAGATCTACTTAAAATCGCTTCCAAATTCTTCTTATGACAGGCATGAGTGAAATGYTTTTCAAATGAAAAATACTTCACAGTTTGACACACAGTTGTTGGCTTACTAACAGCTGCAGCGGGGACACTAAATTGTCAAAGACCAAAGGGTTCAGCCTGGTATCGGCGTGACACAAGTGAAAGCCTGACATCAAGTGTCCTTAGTCCCTTGGGTTTCATAATTTCACTTTTAAGGCCTCTACTTAACACCCTTGAAAAGAGATTTTTTTTTTTCCCCAAAAACATTGTAAAAAAATGCAGGCTGCAAACAGCACAATTCAAACTTCTACTTGTGTGCATCAAATAACAAAACCCAACAATAAACTGCAGCAGTAACTCCATGMACCTAAGATGTTTTTGCTCTTTAAAAGTATTTTCATGATCAATGGGACACCTGTTGATGGTGTCTCAGCTTGGAGATAAGCTATTCCTTGGATTAAAAACCAACATTACTGGTAAAAGAAGCAAAAACTGCTCTTGCACAGAAGTGCTAAATTAGCAACCAGCATATAGAATAAAAATGCTTTTATTCTATAGAGCTTCTTTTGATGTAATATAAGGTCTGCTTAAGTATTAACCRTTTTATGAAACAGAAAAGTCATAATCAAAAATTTCAGTTCAATCTCATTAAAAAAAAACCCAAAAAACCTCAAAAGATAGAGCCACATTTTATCTCCTAGTTAGCTTAGGGGACATCCATAYACCCAAATGATGTCACTGCAGTGTAAGTACATATTCCAGAATCAGCTTTAAAATCATATAGGTGTATAATAATGTGTATAATAATGGCATCCTTAGTTACTTTTCTAGTTACTGYGTAAGACACAACAGAGGATTCATTTAAAGGTCCGTGAGAAGACATTTCCAGTCACAACTTCCCAGTTTTTAGAAAACACAGTCACCTTCTAAGTGCCCGGGTCAGAATGAGTCCCGCTGTGCTGGGCGCTGTACAAACACGGTAATGAAGGTATCCAAGAGACCAACTGGCATGTGCTAATTAAACAAGATCATTGTCCTACTTGGGGCATGTAAGTGAAGGATCAGGGGACAAATTCCAACAGCAAAGGGCTCTGGATGCTACGTGGTGCTCTTGGGTGCTCTGGATGCTTCGTGGACTCTTGGGAAGCCCAGGAAGAGCCAAATCATTCCGCAGCAGCTTAACCTGACCTCCCCTCATTGTGGGTGGGCACCTTGGATCTATCCTGATTTATTCCCATCCCAATGAAGGGAATGGGCATCATCAAGGCTGAACCACRAGCATGCAGTTTGCACTTTTCAAAGTGCTCCCAGAGGCAGCCGCTTCTCATAACGCAAATTGTTCTTTTACTAAAAAGATGAAAACAGATGCAAAAACTCTGCATTATCGGGAGACAAAAACATCTTTTAGAAGACTTTCTTAGGGCAGCACACTTCACCTGGAAGCGTCTCCCCAGCCCAGCTGCCCGGCAGCCGGCGCTCGCTGCAGGTAGGTCCCCACGAGCCCGCAGAGCCGGAGCGCAATGCTCTCCCGGGCCAGCCAAGCCGGACGTGTGACGACAGCAGCAGTTCTCAGAACTGATATTTCTCTGGCAAAGCTCGTGGAAACGCTGACAAGATAGAGACGCTATCCTGGCAGGGGCTGATGTTTGTTCACAGACTACCTGTGGGCCTGGACTTCCTCTCTCACCCATCCCTTCTTGCTGTGCAAACACCAGTTTAAAAGTCCCTTAGTTATTTTTGTTTTTAAATATACACTTCCGGCTTTTGCCAATGTGATGAATCATTGTTATAAAGCAATAAAATATACATGTATTTATTTTTGCCTAGGTAGCCTACATTACTGCGACCACCTTAAAATCTAGAACTTAAGGTGAGCTATTATATAAATGTATATAGTTGTGAAATGGAGGTATGTAATATATAAAAACATAGATATTATATAGATGATTTTAGATTACAGTAAGTACGGTGCACTACTGCTTCCTTTGCAAARTGAAAGGTTGAGAGCCAAGAGACACATTTATAGAGCAGACAGCAGAGAAGCCCCRCGCAGGGTGAATAAGCAGATTTGCCGCAGAACTGTCAAGCGGCACAAAAAGCCCCGATGTCACCTCCCTGCCGCTCGCAGCGCTCTCGCCCGCGCTCTGATGTCACGGCGAGAGAATTTAAAAGTCCCCAAATCCCAGCTAGGAGCCGGGAATGAGAAGTTTCCCGGTGCGCACAAAGTAACCCTCACGTCCCAGCCTGGAGGCCGGGGCTGAGCAGAAACCCGAGCGCTGCCTCCGCGGCACCGAACCCGCCTTTCCAGCTGCTGGGAGAAAACGAGAGTTAATCCCGTCGCATTCCGGCTTCTTACAGAGCTCGGGAGGGAGCTGCATGAGGAAGACAGTGCTTTAGCCTGCAGAAATGTGGCTTTGGACAAAGTGGTTCAACAGATGACAGGAAGAAAGCAAAAAATAAAGTTGCAACTTTGGAGAGAGAGAGAGAGGTCAGAAACAACAGCCAACTTTTAATCCTAAAAGCTCCTTTTAACGCGGTTCAGAGCCGCGCACCGGATTTCTCGAGTTGCAGACTTGGCCAAGTTTTCCCCGTGGAAGCGCCGACTTACCAGGAGCAAGGAGCAATCGCCGGCGCGGTTATCCCGGACCATCCTCCCGCAGCGCAGCCCGAAAGAGGCCCCCGCTTCACCGCGGGTTCCCGCCCGGCAGCAAGTCCGTGGGTGCCACCATTTGGGGCCGSCCCCCTGGAGCCGCCCGTCCCGCTCACAGCGCCAGCCCCTCGCAGCAAAGCTCCCCGCCGCGCCGCCGGAGAATCGCTCCAGAAAGGGGATCCCGGTGCCGCATTTCCCGCCGCCGACTGGGAGGCCGCTGGAAAGTCAACGCGCACAAAGGGCCGAGCGAAGAGCGGAGCCGGCCGGGGGAGGCTCCTCCCATGAGGCTCCCCAAGGAAAGGCCGTATCCACCAAACACGCAGCGGCTCCGGCGGCATCCGATCCCGCCCGGAATGCGGAGCCCGCGGGCTCCATGGGGACCCTCCACGGCCAGGAGAAGGGCTGAGCGCGGCCTGCGCCCCGGCGGGACAGGGCTCCTGCCCGGCTGTTCGTGCTCGTAGATCTGCGTTCCTGTTCTCTATCTCTGCTCTTTTCACTTGGCTGCGGATTTTCTCCCAGGACTTTTTGAGTCATGACAGTCTGGGAGCTGCCGAGAGCTTTTCCCAACTTGTCGGGGTTTTCTGCCTCCAGCTCCGAGGCTGGCACGAATTAAGTTATAAAATGAGAACACTTTAAAAAACACATCTACGTCTCCTAGCAACTATTAAAATAAAAACAAGAGCTTTGCTTAAGTTCTGCAGCTGCTGCTTGGCCCCCTTTTAATTGAAAAAAGTCTTAGGCTGCAGGAA